GAGGCAGTGACAGAATTGGATCCTCCGCCAGCACGGCATGGCCCTTGGTTAGATGCGAGCAATGAGCTAACAGGGGTTGTGGTTATTGACTCTATCATTCAGGCTCACTCTTTTCTTAGGATGTGCAGAAAGGATTATTATAGCCATGGATACATTCTGATATAATTTACTGATTTATTCTATAATTTATTTTGCTTCGGGCCAGGCTCGAACCTCGAGACCTTGACGTCTGAGCGGCTGAGAGCCCTGAGAGGTCTGACGAGTTTCGTCAGGGCCCTCAGCGCTTCCAGTATCGGACCGTTTTGCTGATGGACTCTCAGACTAAGAGATGGACTGCAAACCCATTCACTTCGGTTGTACTGGTCAGAGATCTTTTCGACAGAGGAAAAGACAGTGCTGAAGTTATCTTTGAGATCCAACGACTTCAGGTCGAGTCGGATGGTCAATTAATGTAAACAATGAGATTCGCTCGGCGCTTTAGCTCCGACTTCCCCTGGCAACCGAGGGCTGTTCTGGAACAGTAAAGTTGCTCGGAGACGAGGTGGGTGCCTGACAGACAAACTCTCTTTTATACCTCGCGCACGCACGCCCGCCTCGTTCTCGTCCTTGGAAAATCCTGAGGAATGGAATACCTAACATGCTGCGCATGCCCCATTAGCGTTCAATACTACTCGTTGTGAGATGGTGTGCTTATGAACTTACATATGCCCGGTCTGTGGGATTAATATTGATACCTTGTAGGGTAGCTCATAACTTGCACGGTAATCGATGCAATATTGCGCGCACGCGCCACGCCGCCTGCTCGCTCGCAGCGTTGAGACAGGCTCATGTTCGGTGAGCACCTTCAGACGATGTTGGCCACTGAGATTGTCGATTCCACGCCACGTCAAGAGAGACAACTAGTCCAAGCTATCATCTCGCTTCATGTATGGCGGACATGTTATTCGACACGTCCGCTGTACAAGCGTATGGCGTAAGGCGCTACCATGCAATGACGGCATGGTGGCGTACTTGGAACGCTGGCCAGCATCCTCGAGCCACATGTATAAGCCAATTCCGGAATTACAGTGATTTTATTCGCAACCCATGAAACTCTCTCATATGATCATGCACATGAACCCCAAGCTATATGTTTTTTAGCTGGCTACAGAAGCAGGGACGTTAACATGCAGCTAGCAGCACGCGCAGGCGACATTACACGTGCTCTCGGTCTGAGAGCGTTCAGGTTTCCAGATATCAAACGTCGAGTCTGCCGTAGCTGAGTTGCCCATGTCTATCACAATCATGTTCTGAGATGTATGCCGCCGGGCGACGCCATCCGCGACGGCTCGAGTACATCAGAGATCGCAGCGAAACTGATGCCTCAGATAGATGACCAACATGGCCCATTTTAGATGCCAGAGTACATTGAGGCGGCATATGAGTAAGCATAAGGTTCGTCTTAGAGGGCGCGAGAGCGCGAAGAGGTCGGGACAAGATGACCCCTTCGGCCGAGCAGAGTATGCAAAGCAGTCAGCGGAGCGTCATATATACTCATCAGCCGCTAGTGATTGCCTCAATAGTAATCTCAAACAAAGGTATTTTACGCGTACATGCCAATAGTAGCTGATTACTCGCACCATGTTCAGTTGCTCGCCGCGCAAAGCATCGGCGGACGTCGGGAACGAGAAGAGATAGGCGCGACTGTGTCCCGAGCGCCGAGCACACATGCTTCCGTCGAGCTTCGTTCTGTGACTCCGTACTTGCTCCGCCCCTTCCATCGCCGCCTGAGGCCTAATGCCTTGTATATATATCATCGCCCGTTCTCCCGCCCTCTTCCCCTCTCCTTTCACGCCATATAACGCCCCATACACGCACCCTCGACGACCTCACCCACGACGCCAGCCCCGACCGTAATATCACGCATACAGAGACCATGCAGTCCCGGGCCCGCAACTCGCTCGAGTTCTGGAAGAGCACGCCGAGCACGGCCGCGGCGCTGTTTGGCGTCGACCTGCCCTATCGCCCGCCCAAGAGCCCCGTCGGCGCGTTCTTCTGGCGGCGCCGCGTCTGGTTCGAGACGACGATGGGCCTCTCGGTGCTCGAGCCCTGGGAGAAGGTCATGATCCGTACGTTCATTCTTCTCCGCCTGTGCGACTCATCCTTTGACGCGCTCGTGCGACCACCGCAGTCGTGGTCTTCTTCTTGCTGCTCACGATCACCGCCACGGGCATGTACAAGTACCTTCCCCAAGAGCTCGACGTCATCCAGCAGCGGATGGTGTACTACTTCTTTGGCCAGGAGGCGGATAAGGGCGGCATACATACCGTGCAGAGATTCGTGACAGGTCTCGTCAGCAACTCGTCGGGGGAACTATAGACGGAGAAGCACGAGAATCAACATAACGCCAGTTTCGGAATGACATAATATCGTGAGTGATTACTCCGTGCTGACTAGACTAGTGGCGGGCTAACATAGCGCAGATATCATATCTTCTTAATGTTATGTATTTTTAGCTTACGATGCTCTGTAGACTTCGTGCTCTTGCCTCGCTTTCCCTGCTTTCCCCGCTTCCATGCCGGATCTGAACCATTCCATGTCACTGTCCATGCTGTCTCATCTGGTATATGATTTATCTTTCACGAAATCTTAACTCTGTGCAAAATGAATGGCCCTGAATAGACTGCTGGCCGCATGTCGGCTGAGCTCTTGGCCTACCATCATGCAACCGAAACTTGGTGCTCTGTAGTCGGTCAGAACATACACCTTGAACCCTGTCATCAGCCGCTTACGGCGGCAACACTTTGAGTTTGAGCGACTGCCACAGGTTCTGTAAGTCCAGGCAATATTTACACACGCTGGTGCTGTGCGCTTCCAGACCGCAAAGCGTGTGGATGGTCGTACGAAGTGATCGAACCAATGGCGTCATGAGCACTGTCGGCCGCAAGCCCATGAACCCGAGAAGCACGCGTTTTACTCTGAGGCAGTCTATATATTAGAGCATTATGTAGTTCCCCTATGTGAGAACGGTCACTACCTGTTTTCTGGCATGCGCGCCAGCTGGCTTTTGCTGCGTACACGGGGGCGGACCTTGGCGTACCACTCCCACGCAAAACGGATGACCTCGCCATCGGCGTCGTACGGTGTCGGAATCTCGGAGTAGCCCGGGCGCGCAGTCGGGTGCCGCAGGTAGATAGCTGAGCACGTCGCGAACGACGGTTCGATGTATGCAGGGATGAACATCCATGGTGACGAAAATGGCGGTGGGTGGAACGGTGTGAGGTCTGCCTTGTCTTTGCGGTTCCAGGGGTACTGTGGGCCTGTCGGTCCTGGTTTTGCGGCGGGCTTAGCTTTGGTTTTCGCTTCGAACTGTTCTGGCGCTTCAGCCTCGGCAGCGGACGCCTCGGCATCCTCAGCAGCCTCGTCGCTTTCTTCCTCTTCGTTCACTTCAGTCTTCTTTCCATCCAATGGTCGCAGAAAACGGATAGCTGCAGGGTCCACTGAAACCATGTCGCCCGGCGCGAGGCGCGTGTTCGCATTCTGGTGCTAGAGGCCGGAGTCAGACGACACGCAGAGTTCAATGACCGACCGAGCACGCACCTTCTTGCCGTTGAGTAGCACGTCGCCGTGAATGACAAGCCGCCGCGCCTCGTACACGCTGCTCGCGAGGCACGCGCGGAAGACGACGACGTCGATCCGGCGCTCAATCTCGGAGAGCATCAAGCTGCCGACGGGCGCGAGACCCTTCGCGTCCTCCTCCTCGCGGAGCCGTGCCTCCTTGTCCGCGACACGGTCCTTGCGCGCCCACCGTGCGAGGCCGACGGCATCCGTGGTGCTGTTGGCACTCCGGCGCGGGCGCACGTCGGGCAGCGTCGAGGGGAGGTACCACCGCTTGAAGATCTTCTCGTTGATGAAGTCGCCGTGATACGCGCGCACAAGGGCCTTGCTCTGCCACCGATTCTGGAAGAGTGTCGTCGTGCTCTTGAAGAAGTTCGTGCCGCGCTGTTTCGGGCCTATGGACCGCTGCCAGAGGTTGAACAGGTTCCGCGGGGACCAACTCTGCGTGATGGGCTCAGCGTGCAGAGCATATAAATGCAGAAGGAAGAAAATCGTACCATACGAGGCAGAGCTCGCTTGAAGCAGAAGACGTTCACATCCCGCATAGCTGCAGGAAGGCGGAGAACCAGCTCGAAACGAAGAGGTGGGAAGTGAGAGAGAGAGATTCCGTTGGCGCGCAAATCATGGCGAAATTGTTATCGAATAACAAAATGCTTGTATTGAGATGACCAAGTGCTTAAGAAAATCCTAAGCGCTTGAAGCTCGCGCTGAGTGCCAGTAAGCTGTGTTAAGAAGCTGCGCTTGAACCTGACCACTACCGCCATGGATCCATACACGCCTGGCTCACGCAGACATCACCGCAAGAAGAACCTTGGCTTGTCTACAAAAGAGTACATCAAGGTTAAGCGATATCTTGCTGCCTGATTACGCTTATCGAGCCTGAGGCTTGCAGGTCACGGGCACAATCGCATCTGTACGGAAAGGCAGACATTATGAGGAGGAGATAGACCAGGAATTCGTACATGATATGGAGACGGGGCGTCTCAACAAAGGCAAAGGTGCGTCCCCTGATGTGCTTGTTGCATCTGCCATCTAAATTTCCCCGCAGGCAGAGAGGAGCCTTCGTTCATTGCGGAGGCATCTTTCGTGAAGGCTCCCCTCAACTCACGCGTCGGGACCAGCGCGGCAGCGCCGAACACGAAGGGAAAGGCGAAGCAAGAGAGTCTGGACAGGTTTCCTCTTGAGTTGCAGGAGTCACTGATCTTGGAAGACCTGCTGTTCGTGCTCATGGTGCGTGCGTCCCTAACCGGGATCGCTTTCTCTCCGGCGCATTTTGCAGCACTGTAGCTCTTGGAATTGAACAAACTGAAGATAATCGGGCTGATACCCATGCTCAGGGCATTGAAGGGGCGTATATTACCTATCCAAGCGACTACTCTATCGAAGATGAGGACCCGCTACAGGGCATGCGATTTGTTGTAACGCCTTCTTTGGGTATGTCGGGATGCCTAGTATATACATCAGGTCCTAACGTATCTAGATCCTTCTCTTCGTGACCTGGTCGAGCGGATATTGCCCTTGGCCACTTACTACACCGGTATCACTTCCTTCATAGAAGCGCGAAGTCATCTCGATTTCGGCCTCGTTAACCACGCACTGTGTGCTGCCATCCGCGAAATGCTGAAGGTCCGCTTACATCCCGATTTTGGCTGTCGCTGTGTTCATATTGCAACCAGGATTACCAAACCCTTCTCGCTCAGCTCGAACACGCCTTCAATACTTCGTCACAATTCACGCTACAGAAACTGTGGTTCTACGTCCACCCTACCTTGCATACACTCTCCCTCATGTACATACTCACATTCGAACTCGCGTCTGCGGACGATCCCGCCGGGTCCGAGTCTGCTTCGAGCTCGTCCCACGCATCCGACGCGGAAGACGACGCGCGTAACGAGGCTCTAGGTCTCGGCGGCGCGAAGCTTAAGGCCGTTTTGAATGAGATCAGCAAGACGAGCCAGCTTGGCATGAACGGCGCGAGCACCATACCCGTCAAGGGCGGCGAGGTGCTCGCCATTCTTCACGAGCGACTCCAGAACATGAGCGGCGACCCTGCAGCGAAGCAGCTTTACGGTGTACTTATGCAAGCGGCAGGGAAGCCGTACGTCGAAATGGTACAGCTGTGGATACGCACGGGTAAACTAGTCGACCCATATGAAGAGCTCTGCGTTAAAGAGAGCAAGTTTATCGATCGTGGGACCCTGGAGGTGGACTACACTGACGAGTATTGGGAGAGACGGTATACTGTGAGTCGCCGTCGGTCTGCGAGCCCGTAGACGCTCATCATGCTGTTAGCTCCGCGACGGGACGACAGCAGGTGGCTCCTCCAAGCGACACCAAGCAGGTGTACCTGTACCACGAACAACTGGTGGCAGACTACCGGGCGGTGCGTGTATACCGCCAATGCTCGAGCGGTGGAAGCAGAAGATGCTCCTGGCCGGAAAGTATCTAAATGTCATCCAGGAATGTGGCATTGAGATCAGCAAGAACTTGAACCAGTCCGGAGACGAGGAGTTGTCAATGGAGGACGACCGGTATGCAGTCTCCATTCATTTACAAGCTTATGCTTATTCGCACTCATGCAGGTTCTACAAGATCATCGACGATGCATATACCCACGCCAACAGGACACTCCTGCGCTTGCTTCTACGAGATCAGCAGCTCATACCCCGTTTACGCTCACTCAAACGCTACTTCTTCATGTCCCAATCTTCGTTTCTAACACATCTACTCGACCTAGCGGGTAGTGAGATGCGTAAATCATCCAAGTCGGCGTCAATCGTAAAGCTGCAGAGTCTGCTCGATCTCGCGCTGAATACGGACGCGCAGGGCGAAGACGCGATGTTCAGGGATGACGTCAAAATCACTATGGCCACGAGCGGCTTGTACGACTGGCTGCTCAAGGTCCTAAAAGTAAGCGGGACGATAGGTGGCGAGGACGGCGAAGGCGGTTCAGCGCACCTTTATGAGGATAACAAGAAGGACAAGTCCGACAAGAAGCAGCAGATACTCGGTGCGTCGCAGTTGTACTCTTATAAGTGCTTGTGTTGACGGCTGGTGCATAGCCATCGATGCGCTAACGCTCGATTACCACGTCAAGTTCCCGCTTTCGCTCGTCATCTCTCGCAAGACGATCCTGCGATACCAGCTCATCTTCCGCTTCCTGTTGCACCTCAAGCACGTCGAACAGTCGCTCACCAACATGTGGAGCGAACACAAGACGGAGCCGTGGCGCACGCTCACGCGGCGGACGCCCGGCACTGCGTCGCGACCTGCCACTCCGGGGGGCGCAGGCACAGACGCAGCATTTGACTGGCACGTTGATTTCGAGAACTGGCGGCGACGTGTGTTCCTGTTACGTGCACGCATGCTCGCTTTCGTGCAGCAGATCCTCGCGTTCACGACGTTCGAGGTGCTTGAGCCCAACTGGCGCAAGCTTGAGGGGAAGCTCGAAGCGGGCAAAGTCGAGACCGTCGACCAGCTCCTGCGGGACCACGTCGACTTCCTCGACACCTGCCTCAAGGAGTGCATGCTTACGAGTTCCAAGCTTGTCACGGTCAGTCTCCTGATCAGCTGTTCTAACGGGATGCTAATGTTAATGCGCTGTTACAGGCGACGTCGCGGCTGATCGTGACGTGTTCGACCTTCTCGCTCTACGCGGCGTCGTTCACGAAGGAGGCGAAGCAAGCCCTGGCGTGTGCCGAGAGTCCGGAGAGCGACCAGTCGCACGTCAAGAGGTGGGACACGCTCGGCAAGTTCGAGACTCACTTCAACCACTGGTATGTTACGCGTCTGCAGTCATCGACTACGTGTTTACCCCAGGTCGCGCAGGTTCAAGGCACGCCTCCAGCCGCCATGTGTGTTTGTGCTTCCCGCTGACTTTGTGGCAGGTACACCTGAACTGCGTGCAATTCTACGCATCGAGCGAGAATGTGTCGCTCCTGCCGCTCGTGGTGAGGTTGAACAGCATCAAGGTGCCCACATAGCGGCAGTCGCGCGTGTAAAACATCGTCGATGCGTCGGGATCTTACATTTGTTTTCTGTACCCTGTCTTTTTGCAACGCATAGCTGTCGAGAAAGCGTATAGCCGGAAGGACAGAAATACACATACACCTAGGTAAGTCATCGGAACGCAGGTAGAATGAGTGCATAAGCTGCACGGGAACGTCGTTTCGTCGAAACGGCACGTCATTTTCAACTTCACGCCGACGCAGATATTTGTACTAGATCCGAATCCCGAGCCCTAGTCCCCGAACTCGCGGTGTACTTGCGCGAGCGGCGGTCAGATGAGGCCTGTATATTCGACCGGCCGTACCCACTCGATTTCAACTGAGCAGCGACTCGGCCGCCCTTCCGCGCCACCATAGTCGACCTTTTAATTTGCTCAGAACGCGACTGTTCCTCCGTATGGGCATCGTGGTAGAGGCCGTCGGCGGGATTTGGAATAGTAAGCACTGTTTGTTTGAGTTCCGCACCCATTTCTCACGGCGCTGTATTCTCGAGATACGCGTAAATGGATAATGTCCTGGTCGCATTGTGCTAATACTATCTATTTTTGCGACATTTGTATCAGAAAGACAATGAGCCTGAGCCTCTGTCATCAGTGCCCACGACGGACCCGTCGCATCTGTGAGCGCGCGCTCAAAGAGTCGCGCACTGCTCTCCTATGCTACAACTAGTGGCGGCCACGATAACGACGAGTCGCGATATATCTGAGTTCCAGGATATTACTAAGCCGATCTTTGTCTCTTTGAGCCTGTCCCCCAGTATCATGTCCTGAACCAACCGTCTGGCTACTCGTTGCGATCGGACCAATATATTACATAAATGTCTCGAAAACCCTCGTAATGCGAGCGACAGGTGACGAACCAGAGCGCATTCACGAGGACTCGATACCAAGAGACGTTTAACTGGCAGTGCTTTCAAAGCTGATGACTGTGAGCGCAAAGACAAGCGGCCTCTTAGCAGTAACGCACCTGATTACCGGTCTCTTCGTCCTCGACATGCGCTGGTTGAAGACCTCAGTCATGGATTGTTCATGTGAAGTCCGAGGGGTGGACGGACATGATCTGGCCGATGTACATATTGCGTAGCGTGTCGCGTGAGTTGAGCAATGCAAGTAGAGAGTTGTACATCACTATACTGGCGTGTTAGCATTAGGCGGCAAGGACTGAGGCAGAAGATGCGAGACGAACATTTTGGGAGCACCATGGCAAGTGCAATGTACGTGTAGTTGTGAGGTATCGTTATGTACTTTGAAGTTTAGTCAGCTGTGTGTTATTCAAGCGGATTCAGGGAAGGGGTGGCATGTACCGTGACGACAGATGCAATGGAAATGGAGCTGCTCAAGCCTGAGCAGTGCAACAGCCATACAAAACACTGAATACGCACCTCGTCAACGCGAAAGTGCCAATGCTATATAGAAGAAGGACACGAATGAGCGAGTTAGTTCTGCAGTGTGGCGGGGCTGTGAGTATAGACCAGAATATCAGATAAGGTTGTACCTCTTGAAGCCTGTGCGACGTTTTACGAGGATTGTACAGAGAGTTGCTGCGATGGCGCAGTCGGTAACAGCTTGAAGGCCAAACATAGCACACCACAACCACTTCACTAGTGTCAAAATCGACGAGAAGATAGATAACAGTTGCAGCCGGCTTACGCACATCAAGTTTCAGGCCTTGAGCACTTATCCCACCAGGGAATTTCTCGCTGAAGTCTGTGAGCAGTGGAGTAAGAAGAAGAGTGGCTGGGAGCGTACTCCAATATGCCATTGGCTAGTCGGCAAGTTTGAGACACAGTAAGGACGGTTCCGAGTCGAGCTAGAACTCACCAATAGCTCCAACTGTAGGAACAGCATGTCAGCTGGAGAAATGATCAACATGACCATGGAGACCTACTGAAGCTGATGACCTGGGGCAGTACCTATAGTACCTTCAGGACGGACGGCACCGATAGGGCCTCACAAATGACTTACGATGAATATTACCGACCATATGCATCTGTTGACTGATGCATATTATGAGCTGCTTGATAAGCAATTGGTTGACTGCATACGCACGTCTATAGATCTTGTACGTGAAAATACTGTGTGCCAATAATAAGCTTTGAGCGAGGTCAAGACACGCTTCCGAGACAGCGTACAGGCTCACAGTGACCTCAATCAAGTCCTGGTTCGAGAATGTCAGTCCCTAAGTAGCCGATAATTCGGATCACACTCACACCGACAAACAAATCAGCCACGAGGCTCCTAAACGGCGAGGGCATGAGTGAGCACGAGTTTCGGACTTGTAGCGAGATAGAGAGCACACCACGGGTACTTTGTCACAACAGATGGGTTCATGGAGTTTGTCACGACATAATAGTAGACTGCATGGGAAGCGAGCACCAGATAGAGGCTGCTGAGAATCCTTGAGACGTGGTGCGTGAGTGTCGTTGTTATTTCGAATGTCACGGTTTTACATGACATACCATAGGGAGAATATCTATGATCACGGGTGAGCACAGACGATATAAACACGAAGGAACGTACAGTTCGTTTGACGAGTGGGCTATCATTAAGGTTGTAGTGAAAGTAGACATAAACCTGGATGCTGGCGATACCATATAGCCTGCGAAGACTAGTGTCAAAAAGTCTAGTCAGCTCGCGATGTCCTGATTATGCTCACACCGCTACCAGAATCTCAGCTACTTGAAGGATTAATGCATGACAGCGCTACGTCCAGCGTTCACGCACCAATGACTATTCCGCCAAGTGTCCCGTCTAGGGAGCCCAGCTGGGACAAGAACAAACGCATCGAAGGGGCAGGTTAGGACAGGCTAGCTGCCTCCACTAGTTCTGGCATAGCGATGGCATAACGCCACGTTATATACGCAGCGGTAACGTAGATTCAGAACTTAATCCCCTGGCCAGTGCTTCTGCATCCCGGAATACTTGACAACCGTCATCCAGTCCCAAGTCCGAACCAATGCCTCGAGCGGCAAGCGGCAAGTGTCCATGGATGTGGCTAGCAACATCCCAAATTCAGCTGGTGTGAGAACCACATACCACATCAGGCATCTTTGGGCGATGAACGGGTATCTCCCGTTCAGCTTCAACTGCGGAGCTGGCGTAGGATATCTCCAGCTATTTGGTAGGTATTGTGCACACAGCGCATGACATGCATGAGAGTCGACTCCGCGACAATACAAGAATGCGCTAGCATGCGCGTGTTCCACAGCAGGAGCGCGAGTGGCTATGCACCGAGCCTAGCGGATGCTCATTCTCGAGAGAGCCTACCAACGGACGGTAGTCCCTCGTTACTGTTCACAGGCCGGCGGTGACAATCAGCGTTTTTTGACGTCAGAAAATACCGACATCTGCCAGCAGACTCAGATACGGGCTGTACCGGATGCTACCGACCTTTCCGAGTCCCGTCTCGGCATGTTACCATTACTAGTAGGCCGAGCGGCGACGACAGCGACTGTGGCCGGAGCGAGAGAATATTAATGCACGGATGTGACCGAAACCATCTACGTCGTCCCAAATATCATCACAGCCTGGCCGTTCCTGTCCTTGCTCACCGGATTTTCGGGGATGACAGCTCCGTCAGCGAGGCAGAGAACAGATGAGTAGCATGCATATGCGAAGCTCGAATAGAGGGCGTGGAAAGATAATCTAAGCGCCTCAACCGGATAAACTTATCAGATAACGCGGGTCTAGCTCACAACCACAACTTACACGACAACCAAGAGCTTACCATCCTCCATGCGACGGAAACTGGAAATGCGCAAGATGTTGCAGAACGTATTGCTAGACTATGTCGATGTTTGCACTTTGTCGTGCGGCTGTACAGCGTAGACGAGTACCAAGTCGTATGCTCTTCTATTCCATGCAACTTAGAACATCTGAAAGAATTTCTTTCAGGACGACATCTTTTCGATACATGTCATTGTTTTAATAGTCTCAACGGCGGATTCAGGCCGTGAGCCGCGCTCGATGACCCGATTCTGGACGTCACTTCCTCGTGCTGACCTCCCGCACGACCTGTTCGACCACCTCGAGTTTGCCGTCTTTAGCCCGGCGACACCGCGTATGAGAAGTTTTGTTGGCCTGCGAAGATGCTCGAGCGGCGGCTTCTGACTGCGGCCCTTGGTGCAACCAAGGCCGTTGATAGAGGGGAGGCAGACGACTAACACCGGCTCAGGCGAGTCCTTCCATGTGAAGCTGCTTGTCTGCGCTGATGCGCTGTAATAGCAAGAACAGGCGGTGCTTTAGATCCGTGGATAAATTCCCCGCCAAAAACACTCCTCAAGTTTTTCCCACCGCCTCCCGGCCTTGAGGTCAAGCCGGACGAAATTTTGGAGCATCATTTAAGGTCGCCTTGCCGGCGGACGCCGGCTTGTTCAAAGGGGTCGCCATCTGCAGCAACACACGCATAACCGCACCAGATTGCTACCAAGATAATTCAACCTTGACTTCGACGAAGACTCGGAGTACATCGTCTGACCTCCCATGCGCGCCTCTTACTCATCACCTGCAGGTACTCGCCAGGAGGCATCTACGGTTGTTGAACCGGGAGCATATGCAGCAGATGTCGACGCATTCCTGCAATATGTTGGCTGGCTTGACGAAGTCAAGAAGCCCTTCGCTGTGAACTAAGTCTTGCCAGATCAGTCGTTTCTCGCGTATTTTAACCTTGAGAAACGTCTTTATGCGCTATCTGGACGTCAACTCCGTCCCCCGACGGTCGTTATTTGCCCTCCTAAGGCAATTTACACCCGACGAACTCGAGCGGAAGAAGCTCGTCGAGTTCTTGTCACCTGAAGGTGCCGTAAGTCTTTCTTCACGATTCTGATAGGCTTCTGACTGTGGCTAACCCCGGCGCAGGACGACTTGTACGATTATTGCCAGTGTGAGGCGCACGATCCGAGAGGTTTTCGAAGAGTTCAGAAGCGCCAAAGTACCGAAAGAGTACCTGTTCGACCTGTTCGCGCCCCTGCGGCCTCGCGAATTCTCGATAGCGACGATCATCATGAGGGGATCCCGTTCTCGCCCGTCATTTCCCGCAAGACGATCTCTCGATACTAGCTCATCTTCCGCTTCCTGTTGCACCTCAAGCACCTCAAACAGCCGCTCACCAACATGTGGAACGATCACCAGATCGCACCCTGGCGCAAGCTCACGCGACGGACGCCCGGCACTGCATCGCACCCTGCCATTCCAGGGGGCATAGGCACAGACGCGGCGTTCGATTGGCGCGTCAATTTCGAGAACTGGCGGCGACGCGTGTTCCTGTTGCGCGCGCACATGCTCGCTTTCGTGCAGCAGATCCTCGCGTTCACGACATTCGAGGTGCTTGAGCCCAACTGGCACAAGCTTGAGGGGAAGCCCGAAGCGGGCAAGGTCGAGACCGTCGACTTCCTCGACACCGGCCTCAAAGAGTACATGCTCTCGAGTTCCAAACTCGCCACGGTTAGTCCCTTAATCAGCTGTTCTAAGGGGATGGTGATGCTAATGCGCTGTTACAGGCGACGTCCTTGGCGTGTGCCGAGAGTCCCGAGAGCGACCAATCGCACGACAAGCGGTGAGACACGCTCGGGAAATTCGAGACTCCCTTTAACCACTGGTGCGCCATGCGCCTGCAGCCATCGACTACGTATTCACCCCCGAGTTGCGCAGATTCGAGGCACGCTCTCCGCCACCGTGGGCCTTTGTGTCTCTCGCTGATTTTGTGGCAGGTACACCTGAACTGCGTGTAGCACCACGCATCGAGCAAGAATGCGTCGCTCCTGCCGCTCGTGGTGAGGCTGAACAATATCAAGGTGTCCACATAGCGGTCGCGCGCGTAAAGCATCATCAATGCGTGGGAACCTTACATTTTGTCTTCTGTACCTTATCCTTTTGCAAAGCAGGGTTGTCGAGAAAACTCATAACCCAAAAGACTGGAATGCACACGCTCCTAAGCAGGTTATTATGACACAGGCAGAGTGCCTGAGCGCATAAACTGTAACTGATCTTTCAGACTATAACTTAGCATCGTGATGTGTGCTCAGGATGCTGCTGTTTCTCCGTACTGGTACGATAGCGGAGTTCCTCCGTGAAAATTTGGAGCGAGAACGTTGTTTGTCTAAGCTCAACACCCACCATTTTCACGACATTTCTATCAGCAATGCAACAATCCTTTGTCAGCAATGACATAAATCGTATCCACGGTGAGCCTACCAAACCTGTGAGCGTGAGCTCGAAAAGTCACTCTGTGCTGCAGTGGTGACAACAATACCGGCGGGCCACCATACATATCAGAACACAACCGAGGCAATACTTGTCTCTTCGAGCATTGTCAGTGTCTTGGAACCGTCCGACGGGCCACCCATTGAGGCCAACCAGCATATTACATAAATATTATATTTCAAAGATCCTCGCAATGCGAGTGACAAATGACGAACAAGAGCATATTCATAGGGACTTGGTGCGATGCAAGGCTTGGTTGGCAGCGATTCTCAAGACTGATGACTATGAGCGCAAGAATAAATGGCGTTTCAGCAGTAGCGCACCTGGATATTAGCCTCTTCATCCTTAACATGCGCAGCTTGAAGGCCGTCTGATGGGCCTGAGTTGTGAATCATTCCTGTGATGCCCGAAGGGTGGACAGATATGATCTGGCCGGCACATATATCACGTAACGTCTCGCGTGAGTTGAGTAGTGCAAGCAAGGAGTTGTACATCACTATATTGACGTGTTAGCACTGTGCAGCAGGACTAGGACCGGAGATACGAAACGAACAATTTGGGAGCACCATAGCAAAGGCAATGAATACGTAGCTGTTAGATAATGTTATTTCCTTTGAACTTGGTCAGCTGTGTGCTCCTGTGCTATGTTCAAGCAGATGCAGGGGAAGGAGCACGCACCGTGATGGCAGATGCAATGGAAACGGAGCTGCTCGAGCCTGAGTATTGCTCCATACCTACAAAGTTGTTGAATACGCACCTTGTCAGCGCGCAAGTGCCAATGCTATATATAACGAGGATATGGATCAGCAAGTTGGTCCTATTGTGTGGCAAGGCTGTGAATATAGATCAAAGTACAAGCCTGAGATGGGATGTACCTCTTGAAGCCTGTGCGCTGCTTTATGAGGATTGTACAGAGAGTTACCGCGATGGCACAGTCGGTGACGGCTTGGAGGCCGAACATGGCACTCCACACCCACTTTTCTGGTGTCAAAATAGACAAAATAGACAAAAGTCACAACCGGCTTACGCACAGCGAATCTCGAGACGCTGGGGATTTTTTCACTAAAGTCCTTCCGTGAGTGGGGGAATAAGAAGGAGAAGCGTTGGGTGCTTACTCGAGTATTCCCGTTGCTAATCGGCAAGTTTGGAATACAGTAAGGATAGTGTTAGGTCAAGCTGGTACTTACCAACAACTCCGACTATAGAAACAGCCTGTCAGTTTGAGAAATGATCCACACGATCGTGAATACCTACTGCAGCTGATGACTTGGGGTGGTACCTTTGGTTTCTTCAGGACGACGGCACCGATAGAGCCTTCATAATCAATGACTCACGATGAACATAAGTGGCCATTTGCTTCCGCTGACTGATTCCATTATGAGCTGCCTGTACAGCAATCACTTGACTGCGTACGCACGTTTGTAAATTTTACACGAAAAAATGCTGCTTGCCAACAATTATATTTACCCAAGGTCAGAACGCGCTTCCAAGACGACGTACATGCTCACAGCGACCTCGATCAAGTCCTAGCGTAAGAATATTAGTCCCTGAGTAGCCGATAGTCTAGATTGCACCCACGCCAATAAACATATCAGCCAAAAGGCTCCTAAATTTCAATGGCGTGAGTGGGCACGGGTATCAGATTCGCCACGAGATAGAGAACGCACCAGCACCATGTGGGTGGTTGCTTTGTCACAATGGATGGGTTCATAAAATTTGTTACGGTATAGTAGTAGACTGCATGGGAAGCGAGCACTATATAGAGGCTGCTGAGAATCCTTGAGTCATGCGTAAGTGCCGCCGTTAAGTCAAACGTTTTGCATGACGCACCACAGGGAGAATATCTACGACTATGGATGAGCACGGGTGATATGGACACAAAGGTACGCACAGTTCGCTTGATGAGTCGGCTGTCATGAGGGCTACGGCCCGAGTGAAAGTAGACATAAACCTGCATGCTGGTGATGCCATATAGCCTGTCATGAATGACGATGTCAAAAAGTTCAGTTGGCCCGCAACATCCTGGTAACGCTCACACTGCTACCAGAATTTCGGCTGTTTGACGAATCAGTGAGTGATAGTGTTGTACTAGAAAGAACGTTCACCGACCAATAACTATTGCACCAAGTGTGCTGTCAAAGGAGAGCAGCGTCACTGAAGAGGCCGGCCGAGGCACGCTGGCTGTGGTGGAGTTCATTGAGGGTCCTGACACTGCAAGGTATTAACATTAAGCTCTAGTACTTATACGCACCGACACAAAATAGACCCGGAACTCAATCCGCCAACCGATGCTTCTCCATCTCCCGCTCTGATGTGGGGTGAAAGGTCTTCCTATATATTGGGCAGGATACTATTCAACAACAGTTAACCGGTCTCCACTCTGTTATTTTCGGCACCTTATCACAGCTATCCTTTGCTCTGCCAATGGCGATGGATACACCAGGTGGAAAGCCTGAGAAAGTATCGCAGTATGATCAGGTCACCAAAAACGAGCTGATGATAATAGGCGTGAAGAAATGCCGCCTCCCAGCTCACCTGGATATGTCTGCACTGTGACCATTGGCAGCATTCATGCTGAGATTACATGTGTGCAGGACTCTGACTTCAGGTCACATTGACCACGTGCGATATCACCATTGCTGAAGTCCTCACGAACATCGTTACGGGTACACCTCACCTTGACCTCATGCAGTTCTACGCCTCCGATTCGAGCGAGAACGGATCGCCTCTCTGCTCGTGGTGAGGCCAAGATCCTCTGTCTTCTGTACTCCTCTTCCGCCATGCGGAATCTTCTTGAGAGAACAAGAGACTGAAAGGACGGGAGTATGCGAGCCACTAGTAGGTAGGCCACTGAAACGCGACAGCACATTAAATGAGAACGGCATCCCATGCGAGGGGTAGGCAACAGGAGAGCCATGATGCATGAACGATGATGGCACACTGGCGTCAATGCAAATAATGCCCGACAGGCATCTCGGCGCTCCTCATCTTCAAGTGCCAGAACACCCCGCAGGTGCGCCTTCCACAGCATCTTCATAGCCGTACTCAAACTCCCGCGTGCCTATCCGATGCCTGTGCCTCCCCCACTTGCGCCGTCCCGGTCCTCGTCTCCGCGATCTCTGTCTCTGCTGTCCCTCAGACTCTCGGTGAAGGTTACAGTATGCACGCCATGTGCCTCGTCGTGCTCTTGCTCTCTGTAGTACCATGCGCACCGCGCAGGCATCCAAAATCACTCAATATACCAGTGTGGATGTTTAGCAGTCCCACCCGGGAGCTCGACACTTGACGGGGGGGGGAATACCTCACATCTCAGCCGTGCTTATACCGCCAAGCCTAGGGTAACTGAACAATCATGCACCCTATGGATCTGTTACACCTGGAGCATGTAATTCCAGAGTCGCTCGCCGCTCTCGTACTTCGCGCTGACAACAACGGCAATGGCTGCAATCGAGTGCAAGAGTGTGACACCACGACATGCGTACAGTTTTACACTATAATCCAGCTAGTATGCTATTACGAGCAGATCTCGGATGGCTCCGCTGGCGCAGGTCACGGCTGAAGAACTAGGGTAACTAGAGTACATCTATTGAAAATCATTGCCGTGCGGCACCTAAAGTGCGGCGTCCCTTGAGAGCTGGAACTAGGAGGCAAACAGGGTGTCGGGTATACGACACGAGGTGTCAACGTCATCCTACACCAGGAAAGCAGTCAGCAGAATTGCAGGCACCTCTAGCAGCAGTGACCCACTTCGCTATTGGTCCCTGCGGAATCCGCCTGCTCTGTTCTTGTACCGTTCGATGGGCCCGAGTGGCCGAGCACTCCCGCAAGCCTTGAGAGGTGAATCGACACGGCCTGGCCAGCGTACTTTTCGCGTAGCAAGTCGCGCGAATTGAGAAGGCCAAGTAGGGAGTTGGACATTACTATAGGAGCATGTCAGTATTGAGAAATCGACGTGACGAACGTAAAACGGACGCAATGGTAATACCATGGTAATGGCAATAAAGACGAGATTGTCTGGCATGGCAGCATACTTTGCACCCAATTAGATGCGCCATTGCGTACAGAAGAATATAAGGCGAGTGCTCACCGCGACGATAGTGGCAATAGAAACAAAGCTACGCGTGGGTCACTAAGGTTGCAACTTCGAATTTGTGGATGGCGAGAACCCACCTAGTCAGCGCACAGGTGCAGATGCTGTAAAGCATAAAAGAGAGGATGAGTGAATCAGTTCTACAGAACAGTCAATTCGTCAGCAGTCCTTGTAGCAGCAGGTGGCACATACCTTTTGAAGCCTGTACGGCTCTTGATAAGAATCGTGCACAGTGCGATTGAGATGGTACAGTCAGAGAGGGCCTGAAAGCTGTAAAGAGAGTACCATGTCCACTTCATGAACGTCAGCACAAGGAAGAAAATATAGCAAACGCTTTTCGTACTGCGAAGTGCTGAGCCAACTCCTGAAAACTAGGGACCTTGCGCCTGGGGTGAATGAGCAAGAGCAACAATAACAATGAAGAGCAGTCAGCAGACTTACACAAGTATTCCAATCGCTAATCCACAGCTTCAGCGCGCGATCCGGATATGTCTGAGCGAAGGCGGCACATACCAAAAGCTCCAGCTGGGAGAATGGACAGTATGGGCCTCTGCAATTGAACGATAAAACAGAAAGAGGGGGGGAGGGACTTACCGGAGCCAATAAATTGGGGCAACATCTAGAACATCCTAAGCATGATGTACAAACAACTAGAGCAAGTGACTTACAATGAGTATAAACAGCCATAATACACTCCGCACTGGCAACACTTGTTGATTAGCCACGTTGAATAGAATAGAGTGTGCGCACATTTGTATATTTTATATGCAAAAGCCCTATATGATTGTTATAAGATCTGCAGCAGGTGTAGGGGACCTCCCATTAAACGTACAAAGTCCCAATGACCTCAATCAGGCTCTAAAATAAAATGTTAGCATCTACATGATTAGTCGCGCAGGCCACATACACCTATGATCATACCGGGTGCGAGACTCCTGCATCGTAAGGGCATGGTTCAGCCGGAGCTTCTCTCCACAGATTCCAAGCGCACCATGTAGCCCATGCCAATGCGAGAGGGTTCATGAAACTCGTAACGGCGTAATGATATACAGTATGCGACATGAATGCGAGATAGAGGCTGTCGAGAATCCTAAACACATGCTCAATGGTATGAAAGTCGATAATTCCACATAACGTACCATAATAGAAGTATCTATGATCATCAGTCACCGGTAAGTTTGAAATCTAGATGACAAGCAATGGGAGGGTGCTTACGGCTCGTTTCATGAGGGGGATTTCACGAGGGCTCCGGTGAAGGTATACGTAAACTTGCACACTTGCGATGCCATATAATCTGTGAGAGTTGCTGTGAGAAATTCTTATCGACTCATAATACCTAGTGACACAAACACGGCTACCAGAATTTCGGCTGCTTGGTGAGTCAATCCGTGACAGCTTCCAGCAAGAAATGATGGTCGCGCACCTATGACCAAGGCACCAAGTGAGTTCCCTAGATGCAAGGGGGCCGAAGTAAGCGAAGGAGGCGTTGGTGGCGTTGGCTTAGACATGCTGGCTGCGTCTTGGGGGGTTGTCATAGAGGAAGTATTGACAGTTGTGTTGTACTTATGTGCACCGTCGGAAACTACAGATCCGAAAGGAGATCTCTGGTTCTGCTAACGACGCAAAGTCCTTAATTAATACGACGTACCACTCTACCCAACAGAAAGGAACCTGAAGATAAACAGTTATCTGCATTTGCACAG